GTGCAAGTGGAGGAGGAGTGGGGAATCGAACCTGGTTCTCCCAAATTAGAGTCTGCGCACTTAACCACTAAGAAGAAGAAGAGGAGATTGGATTTATACCCCATGGCCCTTCACTACCCAAGGGAGTCTCAGAGCGGCTTACAGACTCCTTTCCCTTCCCCTCCCCACAACAGACAGACACCCTGTGAGGTAGGCAGAGCTGAGAGAGCTCTGACAGGAACGGCTCTTTTTTCAAGAACAGCTCTTATCGGAACTACGGCTTGCCCAAGGTCATCCAGTCAGGTGCAAGTGGAGGAGGAGTGGGGGAATCAAACCTGGTTCTCCCAGATTAGAGTCCGCGCTCTTAACCATTACACCAAACTGGCTCGGACTGGGAGAACTTCCCCACTCTTCCACATGCAGCTGCTGGATGACATTGGGCAAGCCATAGTTCTGATAAGAGCTGTCCTTGAAAGAGAGCAGTTTCTGTCAAGAGCTCTCGGCCCCACCGACCTCACAGGGTGTCTGTTGTGGGGGAGGGGAAGGGAAAGGAGTCTGTAAGCCCCTCTGAGACACCTTTGAGTAGTGAAGGGTGGGATATAAATCCAATCTCTTCTTCTTCTTAGTGGTTAAGTGCACGGACTCTAATCTGGGAGAGCCGGGTTTTATTCCCCACTCCTCCTCCACTTGCACCTGGCTGGGTGACCTTGAGCAAGCCATAGTTCTGATAAGAGCTGTTCTTGAAAGAGAGCAGTTTCTGTCAGAGCTCTCTCAGCCCCACCGACCCCACAGGGGGTCTGTCTGTTGTGGGGAGGGGAAGGGAAAGTAGTTTGTGAGCCGCTCTCAGACACCTTCGGGTAGTGAAGGGTGGGGTATGAATCCAATCTCTTTTTCTTCTTCTTCCTTCTCAGCCATTTCATGAGCTCTCTCGGCTGTGTCCAGATGCCCTTTTGAACAGTCCCGTTTCGAATAGCTTTCAGGAAGTCAGCGTGGGGGGCATCCCTGGCTTCCTCCGGCAGGCCATCCCGTGCGCGCGCCTATGGGCCGTTGTTGATTGTGCCCGATCGAAGGCTGGCAAACAGCAGAAGGCCCTGCTCAGATGAGCAAAGCTCTCAGTGGCGGACCATAGTGAGAGGAGCGGTCGCACAGCTATGGTGGACCTAGGCCATGAATGTGGTTGCATGTGGTAGGCAGTGCCTTGAATCAAGACCAGTAGCCGAGTGTGATTTTCTAAATTTTAAATGTATGTTTTATGTAAGCCACCCTAAGCCGCCTCGGCTGGGAGGGCGGGGTAGAAATCTGACTGGATAAATAAATTTTACTACATTTAGAAGAAAAAGAGTTGGAATTATATCTCGCCCAGCACTCAGAGTCTCCGAGCAGCTTACTAACTCCTTTCCCTTCCTCTCCTCACAACAGGCATCCTGTGAGGTAGGTGGGGCTGACAGAGCTCTGAGAGAACTGTGACTTGCCCAACGTCACCCAGTTGGCTCCATGTGGGGAAGTGGGGAATCCAACCTGGTTCTCCCAGATTAGAGTCCACTGCTCTTAACCAATACACCAAACTGGCTTTATTCTCCGCTTGTCTCCCCAGTTGGGATCCCAAGCAGCTTACCTTGTTCTCCCCACCACCCTGTGATGTAGGTTAGGTTGAGAGACCAAGCTTCTGTAGCAGAATGAGAATTGAAACCAGGCTCTCCCGGATCCTTGTCTGAATTAACATGAAAATGTGGAATAACAGGGAGGCACATGAAGCTCTGTATTTTTCTCCCCTGGCGGGTTCAAAGGCCCTGTGTAAGGACTCTTTGCAAGGCCCACTCCGTGAGATCTTGCTTGTACCTCCTCTCGCCAATGGTCCCTGCCCTTATTTAGTGCTTTGGTGTATTTCACGGCCCTTTCACCTTGCTGTTCATAGATTTGCTTTTCCCCCACATAACCTCATTTGGAGTGGGGGGGCGATATTCAGCTGTGTTACTCTGTAACACAAATCCAAAAGCATATACATCTAAAAATAAATAAAATAAAATAAAACTTTTTGTTAAAGGCAGCCAAAATAAATGTCTGCCTAGTGAAGGGCCACAACGTGCATCTGATGACAGGGACTCTAGGGCATGAAACCTTTCCCTTGAATGAAATCTTATAGGTGCCACAAGCAGTGTTCCCTCTAAGCTGAGTTAGTGTGAGCTAGCTCACACTTTTTTAGCCTCCGGCTCACACATTTTTGTCTTAGCTCAGGAAGGATGGGGCTCCAGAGCAAACGAATTTATGCAGTAGCCAAATTGCTTGCTCACACCGTTAATGCCAGGAGCTCACAAAGTAGAACTTTTGCTCATAAGACTCCACAGCTTAGAGGGAACATTGGTCACAAGACTCCTTTTTTGTCTTTTTGCTGTAACAGGTTCATCTGTCTGTCTCTCTCTCTCCATTCCTGCAATCTTCTATGGAAATCATAGTTTTGTTTTAAAAATTATTTATTTACTTCACTGATACCCCTTCTTTCTCCTCAGTAGGGACCCCAAATGGCTTCCTTTCTTCTTTTCTTCTCCATTGTACTAATCAACAGATTAAACACACCGGGGTGGGGGGGAGTCAGAACTGTCCATGAAATCTTAAGAGGCAGCATTTCATGGGTTTTTTGCCTCCCCTGTTTACTGATCTGGTACCCATATGCATTTATATGCTGGGTATCAGGGCTATTTTTGGGCAGGAACGCACAGGAACGGAGTTCCGGCTGGCTTCAGAATTGGCCACGCCCACTTCAGCCAAAACCTGTGCGTGTGTGGCTACAGAGGGAAGGCCTGTAAAGCAACCCCCCCCCCCCCTCCAAGGGGTGTGGGCTAATATGCTAATGCATTTCTGCTGTTGGGTGTGGCCTACTATGCAGGCGACTCTGAAGTGGGCAGGCTGGGGGGGGGCTGGAAGGATTGGGCCTTCCCCAGCCTGTCCAAGGGGTGTGGGCTAATATGCTAATGCATTTCTGCTGTTGGGTGTGGCCTACTATGCTAATGAGTTCCTGCTGGGCTTTTTCTACAAAAAAAGCCCTGCTGGGTATAAAGGTGGGATCTAGCTAGTGAAGTGGGATCTGGCGAACGAGAACTTACACTAAAGTAAGGGAACGGTACTAAGGTCTGCTTAGAAGTAGATCTCGGCATGAAACAGGTCTCATTGATTTACGATGTGTGTGATCATTCTGCTTTGAGTCTCCATGGTAAAGGTGGGCTATACTTACACTATACTTACAGTAAGGTAAAGGTTTCCCTTGCTCGAAAGCCAGTCGAGTCTGACACTAGGGCTGCGGTGCTCATCTCTGTTTCCAAGCCAAAGAGCCAGCGCTGTCCGAAGACGTTTCCATGGTCATGTGGTCGGCATGACTCAACACCAAGGCGCACGGAACGCTGTTACCTTCCCACCAAAGTGGTCCCTATTTATCTACTTGCAATTTCTTGCTTTCGAACTGCTAGGTTGGCAGGAGCTGGAACTAGAGATGGGAGCTCACTCCATCATGC